CAGCCTCCCAAGAGCTGGGATGGCAGATGCGCGCCACCACACCCAGTCTCAAGCTCTGTCTCAGTGTACCACAGGGGCAGCCCACCTGGAATTGAACCCTGGCCACTGCACTCTGCCTAAGCAGGAACTTTAGTCCACTGAGCTATCTGGCCGGCCCTTTCTATAAAAATATTAATACTTTTTTTTTTTTTTTTTTTTTTTTGCGGAACCGGGGATTGAACTCAGACCCTTGTTCTTGCCGGGGAAGCACGTATTCCACTGAGCCATCTCCCCAACCCCAATACATATTAATATAGGGCATACAAACATTTTCTACATAAATATTTAGATAACTAACAACTTTATTTTCCTAACATAGTATGATTAAACTTGAAAATTTTATTTATGTATTTATTTTTGTCTTTTTGAGACAGAGTCTCACTATACATTTCAGGCCTGCCTTGAGCTCATTTTGTAGTTTACACTAGTCTTGATCTCCCAACGATCCTCCTGCCTCAGCCTTCTGAGAGCTGAGATTATAGGCATATGCTACCACACTTGGTTTAAACTTGAAGATTTTAAAATGATGCCTCTTAATGACAAAAATATAGCTCACTGGTACAGTGCCTGCCTAGCAAGCAAGCTCAAGGTCCTGAGTTCAATTCCTAGTACAAAATTTTAAAAGTAAACAAAATATTCTATACCCAATGATCAATCCTTTCGTTCAATTAACTGTTAAATAGAAAAAAAAAAAATAGTCATATTTTCACAAGAGCTCAAAGTTCTTGCTCAAGGCTAGTTGTAGCTTTTGGGAAGCTGTTGTTTGGTTGGTTGGTTGGCTAGTTATTTGGTTGGTTGGTTGGTATCTAAGGATTGAGCTTAGGGCTTTTAAAATGAGCTACATTCCCAGCCTTTTTCCTTGCATTGTGAGAGTGTCTCAATAAACTGCTGAGTTGTCTAGGTTGAGCTCAAACTTGCAAGCCTCTGGCCTCAGCCTCCCAGAATACCAGGATTACAGTTATGTGCTACCACATCTGGCAAGTTTTATTTTCAAATCCCTATAAAAAGTCACATTAACATTATACTCTGAAGCCCGCCAGATAGCTCAGCAGACTAAAGTGCCTGCTTAGGCAGACGCAGGGACTTGGGTTCGATCCCCGGCATGCCATGCTGGCCCCACCCCCAGAGCATGCTGAGATGGTGATTGAGACTGGGCATGGTGATGCGCGCTTATAATCCCAGCACCTGGGAGGCTGAGAAAAAGGAGAATCACTGTGAGTCTGATCTACATAATGTATAGATAGATAGATAAATACTGAAATTTGATGTATTTCTATCAGTTCTATAAAGTGCATTGCTGTATCAAAATTTCAAAAAAAAATTGTCATTGTGCAAGTAAAACAACAGTATCAATGAGTCTGATGAGCATTTTACTAGAGATTGAAAACCAAATTTATTCTGGGGGGTATAAAATTACTTCTCAAAGAAGTTTAACTAACTTTTTGGTAAAAATAAAGAATTTTTATATAATATATTCACAATTTTAAAACTGCCTAGAGGAAAAAAAAAAAACAGAGCCAGCTAAATAGCTGAGCAGATTAAAGCGCCTGCTTAGGCAGACACAGCGGCCAGGGTTCGATCCCCAGTGTGCCATGCTGGCCCTGCCTCTGGGGTGCACTGAGAGGACAGAAAACAAAAGGATCTTTAAGAGTCCAATCTACACAGACACTGTAGACCCTGTAGACTCTGTACTAAAATACAAAAAAAAAAAAAAAACCAAACACTTCCCAGGAAGGTAAATACTCAAATGTCACATTCTCATGTACCCTGCCTCAATTGCTTCCTTATACTACTTTAATTAGGCTGGGGTGCACTCTTCTACTACTGCACTAGGCAAATACAGGCAGGAACAGATTTAAATTCTCCTACTATACTGCAGAAACTAAATTTAGTAAAAGACTTACTTGAAGATCAGACTCAATGAGAAAAATGCCCAATGCAATAACTGCATCTCTTCGTCTTTCATCTAGTTGGAAGATCCCATGGAAATCTACTGGACACATGCAAAGCAGCTTCTGGACCTAGAAAATGAGATACATGTGTGTGAGCCACATTTAGAATAAATCAAACCCATAAAAGCCCAGTGAGTTCATATAATGAATAAAAACTTATTTTTTTTCAATGAAAAAGTCATGCTAGCCAGGTATGATGGTATACACCTACAGTCTCAAATACTCTGAGGCAGAGGCACAAAGATTACAAGTTTAGTGCCACCCTGGACAAGTTTGTGATATCTGTCTCAAAAATAAAAAGCAGGGCTAGGGCAATAGCTCAGTGGTCTAAATGCCTGCCCAGCAAGCTCAAGGACTCGGGTTCCATCCCCATAAATGCAAGCCTGAAACCGGACATGGTGGCGCATGTCTGTAACCCCAGTGCTGGAGGAGGCTGAGACAACAGGATCACTATGATCCAAGCTGAGTAGCAAGACCCTGTACCGAATAAATGAATGAATAAATGATTTTTATAAAATAAATAAAACTGGGGCCGGGGAGATGGCTCAGTAGAATAAGCGCTTTCCTGGCAAGCGCAAGGGCCTGAGTTCAATCCCTGGTTCCGCAAAAAAAAAATAAATAAATAAATAAAACTAAAAAGCAAAACACTAGGGACATGGCTCTGTAGCAGATTGGCATAAGTTCAATTCACAGTTCTAAAAAAAAAAAAAAAAAGCATAAAAATGGGGCTTGCGGGGCCGGGGAGATGGCTCAGTAGAACAGGCGCTTGCCTGGTAAGCACAAGGGCCTGAGTTCAATCCCAGGTTCCACCAAAAAAAAAAGGAGGGGGGGGAAGGGATTAAAACCCAGAGGTAGATCACTTGTTTAGCATGCACACCTTGGTTTGATCTCAGAATGTGGGGATCAAAATTATGAAAAGGATATTTCCGGCTGCTAAAATAATTATACACACAAAATATACATGTTCTGAGGAACATGTGCTGACAGTTACAATGACGTTCATAGAGAGAGATACAGCTCAATGTCTAAAATATAAATCTGTGTTTCGGTATTAGGAAAGACCAGGATCCATTAAGAAGGTTACCCATTCCTATCTGCAGTAATTATGTAATAATAATTTTCCTGAGGGATCTTTTTAAAAATTAAGTGTGTTGCCTAACATGCATGAGTCAGTGGGTTTAATTCCATGTACTGGAAAAAAAAGTATTTGTAAAACAGTTGGGAACTATGTATATACACATCAAGGTGTCAATAAGTAATACTTATTTTTACTGGCTTTATCACAATAGCAGCTAGCAGAAGGCAAAGCAAGCAAAGCAATTTATTAGATAAGTGGAAAAATCAGAACTATATCCAAAAGAAAACAACAGCACACACCTATATAAAAGAACTAAAAATCTGGACTTAATATGAACATAGGTGATGCCAATCTTGAGACTGTGCCATAAAAAAACATTAGTAAACACCAGGACCCTGACCCTGTTCCTCTGTAGTAAACTCAATGAAAAGTTATTTGCTGTTACTGATGTTCATGGTGATATGTTTATAGCAATGTATCAAGTGTATTACTTGAGGACTGCCCTGAAAATTCATTAGGAAATTACCACTGTAATTTTCTTTTCCAATGCTGGACTCAACCGCATGGCCTTGGACATGCAAGCAAGTATTCTCGCACTGAGCTACATCCCCATCCCTTTTTTCATTTAGAGACAGCATCTCAAATATCCCAAGCTGGCCTCAAACTTGAGATTCTCCTGTTTCAATCTCCTGATTAGGTAGAAATGCAGGCGTTCATCACCATACACACACATACATAAAAGGATTTTTTAAAAAAATATTTTCTAAAATATGCTTTAGAGAAAAATATTCCATGTATAATCAGGAAAAACAATAAATTAAAGTAATAGTATCTACATATGGGGGAGATCTCTGCTTTTAATGATTAGTGCTTAGACAAAAGAGCATAACAACAGATAAGGACATAAACGCAGTGCTCCTCACAAGAACGTGCTTCACAATCAGAGGGAAAAATAAAATACAAAGAAAGCTACAGACCAAACAGAAGATTGATAATTTCAGAGATTTCAGCCATTTTCAATATCTCACTATTCACATCTTCATAGGAGTGAAAAAAAAAAAAAACCCAGAGATTTTTGTTTCTTTGTTTTTGAGAATCAAACTGATGGCCTCATAGATGAGGCAAGTGTTCTGGGTTCTAGCCCCAGCCCTCCAGGGCTGTTTTCTGTTTTGTTTTGTTTTGATTTTTCTATTCTTTTTTGGAGACAGTCTCGCTATGCAGTTCAGGCTGGCCCTGAACACACTATGTAGTCCAGGCTGGCCTCAAACTCAAGGCAATCCTCCTGCTTCAGCCTCTTAAGTGCTGAGATTATAGGTGTACACCCTCCAGGGATTTTTAAATTCCTATAAAAGAAAAATTAAAAGTCAATAGCACAACAGATTAAGTCAATGAAATTAAAGTAATGTTGATTGGTAAATTAATATCAAACAGAAAGAAAAAAACCAAGACCCTAATAAAATCTACGTCCTTTGCCTTGTCCCATGCACTATTTTATCAATACCCCACTCCAACACAGAGAAAACACACTAACTTACATAACTGGGAGGTGATGCTAATGTAAGGAGCAGGGTAGAGACTCAGAAACATGCCAAAACTGGCATGGTATAGTTATTAAATTTGGCATGGTATAGTTATTAAATACGACAAAGAGGGGCTGGGGAGATAGCTCAGTGGTCTAAGCACCTGCCTGGCAAGCACAAGGACCCAGATTCGATCTCTGATACTGCATGCTATGCACCCCCAGAACCCCGGGTGTACTGTGCCAGCCACTGAGACCAAGCATGATGGCACATGCCTGTAATCCCTGGGCTAGGGAGGCTGAAACAGGAGGATCAGTACAAGTCTGAGCTGCGTAGCAAGACCATGTACCAAATTAATAAATATAATTCCTTTCAATTCTAAATATGACAAAGAGTAGCTATAAAAAAGGATAGCTCATCAATAGTCCTACATACCCAATACATATCCACCTAAATTTGTATTTACCATAATACTGGGGATTGAACCCAAGGCCTCATACAAGCTAGGTAAGCACTACAGTTCTGAACTATATTCCCAGACTTTATTAATATATTTTTCAGAACGATCCTGCTTATGCTGCCCAGGATGATGTCAAACTCCTGAGCTCAAGTGATCTATTCCTGCCTTGGCCTCCTGAGTACTGAGATTCTGGGTATATACCACTGTACTCAGGCTATACTTACAAGTTTAGATTTTGTTGCTTTCAGTGCTTTTTATCTAACCTTATAGATTTCTTTAGGGACAGGGTAAGAGCAATACTTCGGGGGTTTATGGTATACAAATAAATCTAATGTTGACAACTTCTATTTTCTTTTTTGTGGAGCCTTTCCTTTTTGGAGGGTGAGGTGACTTTTAGCTAATGAAGAAATCCACATTAGACTTAGAATCTTATCTTGGCCCTGATACAGGCCAACTGGGCAGCAAGCTAAACCTCAGCTTCCCTGCAGCTCTTTCCAGGACTTGAGATAATGTGCCTGATGCAAAGGCATAGCCACTACCTGGAGTTAATAGTCATTTAACATTACAGAAGCATTTACTAAGCTACTGATCTTCAGTGATGTCTTTCAGAATAAGTCAGGAGCTATGAGTCAGTCAAGGCAGTATGTCTTTTAATTCACTCATTCATTATTTACTGGACACAAATGTCATGAGGCACATGAGGGTGCTATGGATGCAGAGCAAAATGGACATCTTAAAGAGGGCCCTGGCTCTCATTCTAGATAAACCAGACAAATAAATATCAGAGATGTGACAGTGTAATGACAAACACAAAATAAAGATAAAAGGTTTAGTTCTGCCTGTTGAAAACAAGAGAAGAAATAGCTTTCATTCCTCCTTAAGCATTTACTTCAGAAAATTCGTAACTGTATGTACTTCTTTTCTTTGAAATGATTCTAAATTCTTCTGAAGACTAAGTAAATCTTTGACCTAGAAATGCCTTTCTCGGTGACCTAGGAATCATCTCTTCAAAATGCAAATATCACAGTTTCCGTGGGACAACAGAGCCTAACTTCCATAGACACCTCACTCCAAGACGCAAAACAACTTTGTGTCATAAAGTTATGAGAAGTTTGTTTTTCTTCTGGACAAGGTCAAATAATTAACACAGATGGTCACACTAATTACCATGAACTATGGGATGAACTATGTGCAACATGGTGCTCAATCGTCTTACTAGTATTCAGTATTTAGTAAGTTTAAAAACGAACATAACAGGTTGTACTTGCTTGGCTATCTAAAGGATAAGATTTATTTCTGTCTCCCCAATCTCTCAGCAGACTGCCCCTGGTCATATCACATTTTGATTTAATACTTATTCAGTTATAAAGATATAAAGTTTTTTTTCTAGTACCTTTATGGACAGTATTCCTGAGTTGATTTTCTTTTTAATTATATTTTCTCATAGTTCCTGAAAAATTACATTTTTTTGTTTTTTTAAGACAGGGTCTAACTATGTAATTCAGACTGGCTTCTAAGTCACAGAAGTCCTCCTGCTTTAAGTCTCCCTAGTGCTGGGATTACTAGCACATGTCAACGTGCCAAGCACAAAATTACTTTTGTTGGGGTGATTAGAAGGCTTAAGAAGGTGTCCATTAAATTGGGATCTGCAAAAGATGGAAGCAGTCAGAAAGAGTATTTCCAGTAGGAAAGAATGCAGGGATGTCAAGATATTCAGTCCAGGGAAAGATAGTCTCACAGAGCTCCACAGGCCAGACTAGTATATAGACTGTATTCTAATAGCAATGGGGGAAGTTGGGAGTAAAGAAGCCTTAGTGACTTGACTTTAGTTAGAACTGAGGTTTAGAAGAACCCCTCTAGCTGCTGCACAGAGAATGGATCTTAGAAGATAAAAAAGAAATCAACAGAGAAATAGTCAGGAGACCCTAAAGAAGTCCGGGCAAAGATTGTTGTAACCTGAATGAATAGACACAGACAGACCAGCTCAAAATCTTCTGGAGAATTTGATGGT